TCTAGAGAAGTCACATTAGTTTTGTGTACTGCTACTGGAGGTTTGCAGGGGTTAAGACTTATAGAAACAGCACATCACAGTGTATACTCAAAATAGGATCATTTCTTGTTTTATCTTGCTGGCGCACACATTCCACAAAATCAGAGAAAGTGGGAAATGGAATATTATGCTGTCTTTTAAATCTGGAGCCACACGTGATCCACTGCTCTCATAAGTTATGAGGTAACTTTTGCACAATGAGGTTAACACCTCTGGCTGTGTCAAGAAATACAAGTCCTTGTAAGCTCCCTTTGGATTTGGCTAACTGAAGCTCCATTAGCAAGTCACTTAGTTCTCCAAGTTTCTGAAAGGCTTTGTTAGAAATTTTGGGGATGCTATCAAATCTTTCTTAATAGTGCACTTTCCAATGCTTCTTTTGAGCCATAACCCTCAAGTCTATCCCAGATCATTGTATGACCAATTTCTGGGTAGTTTAGATTTATTTTCCTGATTCATCTGGCATGCTCAGTGGACTCTTTCGCCACGATTTCATCAGGAGGTCTATCTCTTCACTGCATGAAAGGTCTTAGCCTCTGACAGCATTTTCACCAGGCCCTGTATCTTTTAAAGGGATCATTAAAATGTCCATGTCCTTTATTGACTAACTCGCATTGTGCAAAGAACTTTGCAAAGTCCATTGTGGCTTCATTAGCTGGCTGTGTATTGCTATGGTGGAAAGGTTGTATGTAATTTTACCTTTTAGAAGTCTCTGGTTGAAGCTGGACTCTGGTACCTCGCCTGCAAGGTGTCTGTCATAAGAGATGTCACTTTGTTTGGAGTCCTCTTGTTTGCAGACTTGTGGTGACTTGCAGTGGTTGCCTTGTAACATCTTTTGTTTGCCTCCTCAATGTTTTCTATGTTGCTACATGGCTTAGAGTGTTGATAGACATAATCTGAAGTGTGATGAAGAAGATCTTAGGGTTCAGCTTCTGGGCCAAGTACATTGCTGCATCTGCTGAATTCACTATTAGGATATACTGTATGCAGGGCCGGCCTTAGGGGTGTGCGAGCTGTGTGGCCACACAGGGCGCCATGGCAACAAAGGCGCCAGGCGGCCAACACAGCTCATCCTTGGGGCGGCTTCTCTCCTCATCACCGCTGGCCATCCGACATGACAGCGCTCCCTCGTCCCCCCCTGCGGGGTGGGAGCAGGAGGGAGCACTGCCTGCTGTCAGGATGGCCGAGCGGTGAGGAGGAGAGAAGCCGCGGCCCCAGCTGTCAGGATGCCCGAGCGGTGAGGAGGAGTGAAGCCGCGCCCCCAGCTGTCCGGATGGCCGAGCAGGTAGGAGATCGGAGCCGCTGTCATCCTGTCAGTTGGATGACAGCGGCTCTGTGCGTGGTAGAGCGGAAGATCGGTAAATATCAATGATATTTACCAATCCTTTGTGTGAGAAGGACAAACACTGGAGCGATCGTCTGATCACTCCAGTGTTTGTAAATAACTGGGGACACATAGTACTGTGTGTCCCCAGTTATGAATGAACAGCATGTGATTTACATCACAGCCTGTTCATTCAAGATGTCATCAATGGAAAGAAGCACTCACTACAGAGGCTCTTCCCCATTCAGAACCTGGTGACAGTAAATATTTTGCTATCAGCAGGTTCTGAATTAATGGAAGGAGCCTCTGTACTGAGTGCTTCCCATTCATTGAGTGCTGAGGATGTTGAGAAAGAAATTGAGGATTTGGTGTCCTCAATTTATTTTCTATTTTAAAAGGGAAATGTCAGGGGTCTGTTTGGACCCCTAATATTTCCCTGAAGACACCCTTC